TTACTTTTTATGTGTAAATATGAATAGCTCTGTATGATAATTAACTTCCCTTTCATGGTTATATACAACATAATAAATCAAATATCATAATAAAAATATTTCTTCATGAAAACTATGTGTGCATGGCCTACAAAGAAAATCATTAGACTAACAAACAGTTAAAAGTTTTTCTCCCTTTATTAATTTGGTTCCTTAAATTATCCTATGAAGATAGATATTTTTCCTACCTTAAAAACGTGTAGGTGGTTCAGTAACTTGGGGCTAAAAATAAACTTTTTCAATCTTTATTAAAACTCTCAATACTTTTTTTTTCCTTCCAGGAAATATTGTGCCTTTCTTCATTTCTTTCTCTGCTCTGTTCCTCATTCCCAGGACTGATTAGCGATGCATTTCAGTGGAGTCCTACTTCTAACCTAACTTCAGCATCTTCAGTGATTTACATCAAAAACAAATTTTCTAACCTGTATTAGTCAAGATCCTTTTCATCACAATGGACAAGATCTCAATTGAAATTAGCCTAAAAGGGGAAAAGGGCACCTTATTGGCTTATATTACTTAAAACTTCAAAAGCAGAGTTAAGACCTTGCATCTTTCTTCCCTTGGATTGTCCTGGTCCTGTGTTAATTCCATTTTCAGGCAGTCTTTCAGTCCTCACAGTGGCTCCTGGTACAACTTCACACTAACTCGAACATCTCAAGAGGAATGCCTCGCTGCTATTTTAATTTAGCAAAAGACCAAGGATTTGCTCGGATAAAGTGTATTCTGAACCAATCAATACAGTGAGGGGAGAAGGAATATGCCAACTGGCTGGTCCCTGAGGCTGTACCAGTCTCATTCAAACCTCAAAGACTCTCAGTAAAGAGTGGCTTCCTGATAAAAATGGAATCTTTCTATTAGAGGAAGTAGAAATGGATGTCCTCTTCCATGTTACACAACATTTCCATGTTACATGACATTTCCATGTTACACGACATTTCCATGTTACGTGACATTTCCATGTTACATGACATTTCCATGTTACGTGACATTTCCATGTTACGTGTTTCTACTACATTACTCAAATAGCAACTTGCACTTTCTCTATTGCAATTACTGGCTTATTTGCTTGTTTCCTTTTCTAGGCCATAAAGCTGAAGATGTTAGGGACCAAGATCATCTTATTGTTGAAGGTCAACATTTAGCTCTGTGCCTGACACCTCCTAGGTACCAATATATATCTGTATCTGTGGACTTGACTAGACCTGCCTTTCTTTTACCATTGGACAGATATTTAGGATGCATCTACTATGTGAGGTAGAAACAGCAGAGCATAAAACAGATGAAAATCCCCGCACTCACAGTTTACATTCAGATGGAGGATAATCTCAAACTTTTAAATGTTATTATTAATGAAATTTCATCTCTAAAATCTTATGACCATAACCTCATAACACAAGGGCAACAGTAAGGGAATAGGCCAGACTAATAGTTCCCCAGAGGGTGTTATACGACTAAATTTATTCTACTACGTGATAATATAAATAGGACCAACAACCTTAAATTTTAGTCATTCATTCATTTAACAAGCATTTACTGAATCCCTGACAAGTGCCAGGAAGATACAGTCCCTGTCATCTTGATGCTTAAAGCACAGTGAGGGAGAGATAGATTACATTAGCTTCTTATAACTCCTGTAAAAGTTATCACAAATGCTGTGGCTTAAAACAACACATACTTATTTTCTTATGGTCATGGAGGTCAGAAGTCCAAAATGGGTTTCATAGGACTGAAAACAAGGCATTGGCAGGACCTCCATAGATCTAGGGGAGAATCTGATGCATTGCCTTTCCCAGTTTCTAGAGCTTCATTCCTTGTGTTCCTTGGGTCATGCCCCCTTCCTTCATCTTTAAAGTCAGCAATGAAGCATCTTCAAATCTCTCTCTGCTTGGCTGTCTCTCTGCTTGGCTGCCTTTTGCTCTGTGTCAAATCTAACTCTGCCTCCCTTTATAAAAACACTTAGAACTGCCCATGTGGATGGTCCAGGATAACCTCCCCATCTCAAGATCCTTAACTTAGATCTGCAAAAACCATTTCACCATATTTTGTAGGACTCACAGGTTCCAGGTAGTAAGATCTAATCTAAGTATCTTTGGGGACCATTATTTAGCTTACCACATATTAATGAAAAATTAAAAAGTGTATAATTAACAATTATACACTTGTTCCTGTGTTTCTCTCAATATATTACTGCTTTGTTATGAAGGTATAAAACTTCAATATTGTCCATCATCACATAGTTAGGTGGTGATAGTATGGTATGGTAGAAGAAGGACTTCTCTGACAATCAGATGACCTAAGACCTAATCTATGTCCCTGCTTTGTGACAACTCTTATAGGTAAGTTTGACAAGTAAGTTGGACAATTAAGACAATTAACAATTGTGCTTCTTAATTGAATGGTCCTCGATTTTCTTCTAATATTTTTAAAACATTAGAATAAAAGAATAGAACTTTTGAATATTCAAAACTTCAAAAATATCCCACATACAATGAAACCTGGATGTGAAGGTTTCATTGTAAATGCTCAAGAGGCCAATGTTTGTAGTAAATGTGCTAGAAGAAGTTGTAGTGCTAATTTAAACAAAAGTAGGAGGGGGGGAGGAAAAAAGGTTGGTGGCAAAATTAAGTTTCAATTTACAGTCTAGGGAGATAAACTATTAACATTTTAAAAGGATTGTAACAGTGAAAATTAGAAGGAAAAAAAGCAAGTAATTGTGAAAGATTTGCTGGCCTTTTAGAATGAATAAAAAGTCAGTTTTAGGAGAACAAGATATTATAACTATGCATAGAAGTAAAATTCTATCATCAGACAATCTCATTTTCTAAACTAAAATACTATTTTCAAGTAGGGAGACATACTATGAAATCTCTAACAAAACAAACAGATTTAAAGCAATGTTCTCTTGTGTATATCATTATCAACATCATTACATCTGGGACAATATTTAGCTTAGATTATCTTATTTAAATAGCTATGGCTTAAAAAAAAATAGCTCCAATCTGTTCTTTCACAATAAAACTGTGCACCAAGGATATATGATTATTTCTCCCTTTAGAATAAAGCAAAAGGACATGTTGAATCACATCCAATCTGGATAAATAAAAGTTAATAAAAGAGCTGGAGTAGTTTTCAGATTTGATATGTGTTCTGAGAATAATAATTTATTTTAATTTAACACAAAAGGTCTTTTAGGGATCCTATGCTAATTCAACATACATATTTAAAGGGCAAAATGTTAATGTTGAATTTTGACAGGAAGATGAAACGTAAGGGTAGGAACAAAATCCTTATTCACATATGTGTGATTTCAGGACACCTTGATGACTTTGCAATGTCTTTCCTTAATCTATTACAACAAAAAAAAAGAAGACATTCTTATTGAACTCTGAATTTTTGTTAACAGAGAGAAGTGACACAAATCAAAACAATGTAATAACTTTGAAAAAATATAACTCTAGTAATTCTAGCTAATGGATTCACTAGTGGTTAAAATACCTTTATTTATATGGTTGTCTGATTCTAGTGGTTGATTTCTGCGTATTTTAGCATTCTCATTTCTTTTAGGATTAGCATATCTTTCCATTTCTGGGGATTGCTATTAAATATGTCTTTTACAATTACTATGTTTCTGCCTTGCAAATTATTATGTTTGTTCCTGTGTTTCTGTCAATGTATTACTGCTTTGTTGTGAATGTTTAAAACTTCAATCTTGTCTATCATCACATAGTTAGGTGGCAAGAGCATGGTATGGTAGAAGAAGGACTCCTCTGACACTCAGATGACCTAAGACCTAATTGATGTCCCTGCTTTGTGACAACTCATGTAGGTAAGTTTGACAAGTAAGCTGGACAGCTGAGACAATTAAAAGCTCTATGACCTTGACAGACTGTGGTTGATTATTTGCAAAAACAGCCACCGTTATTCCCTTTATTATTTCCATGTCTTTTTACAGTGAAACTTTGCAGCTCTCCTATTAAGACATGAAGTATATTTCTATACCCCTTGAATCTGGAGTAGCCTTGTGACTGGCAGGGTTCAAAAGAATGCCCCAGAAATGACATTGTGGCGATTCCAAGGCTTCCGTATCAACAAACATGGCATTCTTCTGATTTCTCTTGAAACCCTGAGCAGCCACAGTATGAAAGAGCCCAGACTTATAGAGAAGGACATTTGGGTCACAACCAAGGCAGCCCAGTTGTCTCAGCTGCCAATGTCTTAGACTAGTCTAAGATGTGACAGCTGAGTCACATCTCAGGTGACTCAGCTGACCACAGGTATAGTGCACTCAGACAAAACCAACAGAATAAGCAGTTGAATTCCATCCTAAATTGCCAATGCACACACTCGTCAACTAAATACATGCATATTTGCTATTTTAATCTACTCAGATTTGGGGTGGTTTGTTACGAAGCAAAAGTCAACTGATATGCACACATTAATACCTTTAAATCCAATAAAAGAATATGCTTTAATGACATGATTCAGGAAAGAAACTTTTTCTAAGGTTACTTCTAGTTCTGATGTAATATTCTATATCACCTTTTTTTTCTATTTCAGCATAGCTTTTTAAAATTTTTTTGCCTTATCAAATTCTAAGTGTGAGGAAAAATATGTATTTTGATTTTAACTTTTTAAAGGCTTCACTGTAAAAGAAATAAGAAGAAGAATTCTTCATTGTTTATTGGTGGTAAAAATTATTTAATCACATTCATTTACCATAAAAATGTCATATGTGACAATTTATAAATGTAATAATGTGAGCGTCTGTTTAAAAATAGAGTTCGTACATTTTTAAAGATTAAACTCTCCCTGTATTAGCATAGAGGTTACCTTCAAAACTTTATCACTTAGTCATTAAAATAACATATGTACTGTTCATTTTGAAAATTGCTTCACCTCTAGAAAGAAATACAATGCCAATATATTTATCAATCAAAACTTATAATAATAGAACACTTTACCTGCACAAGAGTTTATGAGTGGCAGCAGAATTATCAGTTTCCATAGCAACCTCATCTCCACTTCCTAAGGTCAAAAATTTCTCCCATACAATCAACAGGAAAAAAAAAAGGTCTGTCTTCCAGGCAGTATCTCAAGAATCTGAAAGAAATAAAATTGCTATGAAATGACAAACATACAAACGTGAATATTTTAATATGTATATTGATCATTACATATTGACTAAATTCAATATTAAAATATTATTATCCAAAATACAGCAACCTAAATGGCTACTTTATACATATACATATGTTTTGCAAAGTTTCTGGAATTTCAAGTCATATTTTCTTAATTTCCATTTATATTTCAAATATACATGCCATTTGCTATTATGTTTGGTGTAGTTGTTAATGGGCTGAGATGGAATTCAATTGGATGTATACCATGTGGACTAAAATTTTCATTAGCTTAAGTTCAGTCATTTTTTGACATGTTAAAGAGATTAAAAAACATTAAACCAATTCCCATGATTCTGTTGTTGGCTTGTATTTTTAATTTTTAATCATTAGGCAAAGGATATAATACTTCTCCATCTTACATATATTAACAGCTACTTTACATTTATTTCCTGGATTTTCTGTGTTTTTATCAATATTATTGAGGACACACTCATTAGGAATCATTATCTTTTGTAATGTTACTAGAACCAACATTAATATTGTGTTACAAAATTTCTGCAAGAAGTCAATTTCTGGCAGTGTTATCTTTTAGGTATAAGTCATGCTTTTCCTAAGGGGTTACATCATAATTTTCTCTAATTTATTTTGACATTTAAGCCATGCAATGATAAATGAAGTCAAGATAAACTGTTAGTCTGACTTTTACTCCGAAAGGGAAATCTATTAAGAGACTCATAAAAACTCATAAAGGTTTAGAATAAACTCATCTAGGTTATATTTGATAAAACTATCATATATCAAATGATGGAATTCTTTGGAAACTTGAACTTAGTGGAAATATATTTTCTTGCAACCTCAAATACCATCTGTAAGTCTATGGACTTTAAGTGTGGTAATAGTACACAATGAAATTTTGATCACTTCCTGATATATTTTCCAATTTTAAAAATCTTTCACTTCTTTCTGCTATTAGTTGCTTCAACTTAAAAAATATTGACCACATTTAACTTTTTTTGTAAAGCTTAAGTTACATACTTTCACAATTTAATCAAAGAATAAAAATCACAGGAAAAATAAATAATATTCAGGTTAGAATATTGAATACTATATAGATTCCATAACGTCTCACAAATTTTTTCCTATCATATATCACCTTTCATTCCCTTTGATACCACAGAATCAAAGCCTTTAAGTTCTTGCATTTAAATTAAATCATATCTTATATTCATTCACGCATTTATCATTTTTTCAACAAATATTTATTTATTTAGATAGTTCCATCCTCTGCAAGACATTGGGCACTTAGGTGCGAGTGCTGAGCCTAAATTCTTCATTCCTACCTTTGAGGCATTGCTGTCTTGTTAGAGAGACATTTAACAAAGCAAGAAAAAAAAAAAAAAAAAGCTTTGCATACACAGAGGTAAATAATGATGCGAGATAAAAATGATATATATTTATTTAAATGTGAGATCCATGAGATCTATATAAGGTGAGATGATGCAGAACATAGCAAAGCCCTCTCTCTCTTTGCCCTTCCTTTTGCCTGCTATGTTGCAACAATGGGTCCAGTAGTCATCCATGGCATATATACTATGCTCTGTCAACCTATATATCTTGCTCTTGCCCTACAATCCTATCTTTCTCTCCTCTATAAACCTCATTTTCGTGCTTGCCTAACTTTGGCGTGTCTGGTCATTCTACCATGGGTGCTCCAAGAACTGATGGTTTCAGACTGAAACCTAACATGCCCATTTGAATATTACCATCAAACATTTTCTTCCTGGCTGGGCGCGGTGGCTCACGTCTGTAATCCCAGCACTCTGGGAGGCCGAGGTGGGTGGATTGCTCAAGGTCAGGAGTTCGAAACCACCCTGAGCAAGAGCAAGACCCCGTCTCTACTATAAATAGAAAGAAATTAGTTGGCCAACTAATATATAGAAAAAATTAGTCGGGCATGGTGGCACATGCCTGTAGTCCCAGCTGCTTGGGAGGCTGAGGCAGCAGGATCGCTTGAGCCCAGGAGTTGGAGGTTGCTATGAGCTAGGCTGATGTCACGGCACTCACTCTAGCCTGGGCAACAAAATGAGACTCTGTCTCAAAATTAAAATAAATAAATAAATAAATTCTTCCTAAAGGGAAGAATTGGTCAATTATGCCAGAACTCTAAAACCTTTAGTCACTCTTCATTGCAAAAACCACCAACGTCCTTGGGAATGGTATTCAGGACCATGTACAATGAATTTCTAACCTTCCTTTCTCAACCAAAGTACTTGCTACATACTTCCAGTCTGTTGACAAAGATCTACTCCCCATTTACTTTGCACTCACATCATACATTATCTCCATATAGATGCTATTGGATTTGCATAGAATTCCCCATTAGAGTCTACATGTCCCTTAAAAACTGTGTAGCAGAATAGCCATACCATCCTGTTTTCACTGGATTGTTTCTGTGTACCCAAATGCCAAGGCAGAATTATTAATAGACTCTTTTTCCCCAAAAAAGTCTCAGTTTACAAGATAAATTATGTGGTCCACTTATTTAATAAATATTCATTACTTTTTCCTCCCCAATAATTTTGTTCTCTTCTTGTGATAAAAGCTCTGTAACTTTCTTTTGAGGAACCACCTCCCTATGTACCTTTAGTCCATACAGTTCGAGTTGTACTGCCTCCGCCTCTTCACTCCAGGCATGAGCATATGAGAAGGGCATTGTCAATCAGGAATCAATTTCCTTGGCTACAATATTTTATAAAGGGATGGGAATATGACCTAATTGAAACCAGTGACAGTCAAAGCCACGACCTTTGGCAATGCTATTAGGACAAGAGGGTAATCTTTCCATTAAGTCATTGATGTGTAAACCTGTCTATCTGTTATATTTCACAAGTGTAATTTTGACTCAGTTTGAATTCATGGCTAAAAACTTTCATTCCCCTTCATGGACAGTTTACTAAGCTTCCATTTCAATTACCTCCCTTGTTAGGTTTTAACAATACTGGATTATAATACACGCATACCAATTGCCAGGGGCCCCAAAATATCTAATACATAAGAAAGGCCTCTTCTTCCTTGGATTAGAAAATTATTCAAAATATCCAATCCCCAAGATACCTACAAAACATAGCTAACCTTACCCCATTTTCCATACACAAGCCGCCTTCAACAGTCCCAGCTTGCTGTTATCCTATTCCTGGGTACGATCTCCTGTGTGGCTCTTTTATTATTTGGAGCAGTAGGAAACAGAGCTCTGCTTTTCTTACATATAAATTCTGCCACCCATAGAACCTATAATCACACCTGATATCACAGAATCATGAAATATCCAATCACGCCTAAACTACTGGAATTCCAAGATATGTGAGCCAATATAACAAATTTTTGCCTAATCCTGTTTGTGTTGTGTTTTTATCTCCTGCAACTAAAACAATCCGACTAGTGTTTTCATTTTTCATCCTGAATTTATGGGAAGATTTTCTTAAAGACTCTTGTAGAGGAAACTGACATGATGTACTCCCCTTAGGGCTTGTACTTATCAGAGACTCCATCATATTGCCAGAGTTTTCATACTTTGCCTTGACGATAAGCACCATGTGTAATACTTTTTCATAACACTCGATGTGATGCCTGATGCAGAGCTCACAGTCATTCAATGAGTTATGTGCTAGGTTTGTATTTGACAGGCAAACAAACTAGTACTATGGAGAAAAAGGTTAAAGTGGGAATCTAGAGACTTTCTTTCTACTATTGTCTCTTTTCCTTAACCAGATGAGTAATGTTGGCTGATTCATGGACAATCACATTGATTGTCAGTTTCTTCCTTTGAAAATTAAAGGAGTTGACCTACAAATCACCTTTAAATTTCTTCCAGTTCTAACATTCTAAGGTTGTTTGATTCAATCCAGTGTATAATTTCACGGCAGATAGTGCCCTTTACCATCTGATTACTTATCAGCATACTGTAATGAGGGCAAAGCCCAAAAGATATTTTATTTGGCATTGCTTTCTAAAGCCAGCCTAAATAGCTCATATTTATGCATCAGTTGCCATTTGTAAAAATTTCATTCGTAAAAGTTTAAATTGCCTGATGAAGGGGAATACTCTGGCTCAATGAGAACAATCCAGATTTAAAAAAAGTGTGGTTATTTATTCGCAGCAGAATAGAGTAGAAAGATTCAGTGGGTAAAATTTATGCCAGTCGCTAATATGCAAAATAGCCACAGGAATGAATTCTTGGTTCCTAGAATCCTACAGATCACCTGAAGCAAATGCACTAATAAAGGAAGGCCAGTAGATAGATCTAACTTAAAAGAATTTCTAGAATCTTTAAACAAATTTTAAAAATGCATCACCAGCATTTTGTTTTAGATAAAGTTTATAGGCTGTGTAATCTTTTAAATATTATTTTGGTTCATGACCGCAGTGCACAGATTATTGTTCTACTATTATTGGACAAAGTGTGTTCCTTCTAGACAACATATGTTTATCTTTTCTTTCATGGAATTTCTCAATGCAAAAGTAACAATTTCAAACACTTCAAGAAAAGAGTATGCATAGCTCTACAATTCCTTACCTGCAATTTAAAACAAACAAACAAAAAAACCTTTGAACGTTGGAATATACGTGTAAGTTTGGTAGCAAAACTTGTCCCAGACTAATCTGTGATTGGTTAGAACTTTTTATCCAAGGTAGAATGGATATTTATGTTTTTCTGTTGAAACAGAAATGTTGGTTGATGTTAAAGGTGCTGCCCATTGGGCATATACATACATGCATACATACATAAAAATTATATGCATATGTATCGATATATATTCAATGTGCATATATATCTGTAATACATATATACATATATATATACATACAAATTTGTACCACATTGCCTCACTAAAGGCTAAAACTAGGAATAGGAAATTATAGCCTGCTGACTTAATTTGGTCCTCCGTCTATTTTGTAAATAAAGTTTCATTGGAACCCAGC